GGGGGGCTCTAGGTGAGATAATTAGGATAGCTTCAGCATTTTCTCAATAAGTTGTTGCTCCCCACCCCAGACTCAAAACAAATCTACACTCTTGTTGCAACCCAAGACAACCAACAATGCACACAATGGCCCCAAAAGATAATTCAAAGCGCTGTCCTTTTTTCCATCCAGAAAATACAAGATGGCTACCTAGCTCCATATGTTGCAGATATCAAGTGTAGTAAGAGCACTACCTCGACAAAACAATAACAAGGGGGCCGAGGTGGAATCTTCAATTCAACATCCAGGATACGGCCATACTGCAAAATCAAATAACAAAATCTGTGAGCTCAGCCATACTGGTAAACCATTGGACAGCTAAATTGCAGCTGTATAGAAAATACTAAACATGCCATCTATATATACATATACACACACACACACAAACATATCTATATGTTATTGTGCAAACAGCGAGCATTGCATAAGTTATATGCACGCATATTGTTCATCCTCTGAGCAGTATACAGACAAGCAATGTATTGCTTAAATTTCTAAATATTTGAATCCGCTGATCGGAAGCACAGCTGTGCCTGGATGAACTTTTGATATGTTTTGAGGTGACCATGGGATGCTGGAAATATATAGCATCACTCAAGGGAATAGTGATAAACAGCAAGCAGGCATGTACATGCTTAATAGTAGGAAAAAATAATCATTTCTGAGGTTAATAGCAATGATAATGGTGCACATATAATTAACTTAAAATGAATAAATCTCATTATTCTGCTAACAAGAGTATAAGCTTCACATGAAAACATTTAATACAAACCTTGTAAAACAGATCTTCAACTTTCGATTCTCTTATATCTGCAGGTAAGTTGCCAACGTAGATTGTACGAGAAAAACGACCACTCATTTTTTTGTATCGGAAGAATATAGCAAAGCCTTTGCTGCACGATGCAAATGCATTGCATAAATAAAGGAACATTTCCAGAAACGAAAACAACTCTATCTGGTTATGTTGCATTTATCATCAGCATGTACTATGACTATAACAAAAGTATGGCAAAACCAAAAACTATGAAGCAAACCAAGAGAGCAATCCTCCATGTGAACCACGCTCCACAAGCTCCATCGCTCATTTTCTCCAAGAGGTTCCAAAGCTATAATAAATTGGAAATATATATTTGGTCTCCTCATCATTCCACAATATTTTGCAGATGTATAGCTCTTCTGAGTGTGAGCAACAATCTCCAGTTATAAAAAATAATACTCATAACTCCACTCCACCCTGATTTTCCCACTCCCTCTCTATATCCCTATGCATGATTGCAAAGCTCAAATTTGTCCAAGCGCTTGTCATCTATCATAAAGAAAGCATTTGTGTCAAGAGATCAAGTAACATATTTATTTATATACCTTACTCAGCTCGCTTTTCAATCAGAATTGAACAAAACAACCCTGTAAATTACAAATACACCCCCAAATTCCCCCTTTTCAAGTCGCCCTCGGGTAGAGGCTAGGGGGCATCTGGCTTTCACATAACTTTGCAAGACTTTTCTGTTCTCAGATTAAATTCACCAACTCAACAATTCATTAAGTAAGTAATTCAGAAAACAATCTGGCCTTTCTCGTTCAAAGTTTAAAAAACAAGCACACAACAACTAGTCTATACAGCCATACGAGACTATGGACTCGCATCCCATTTCCTTCTGCCTTACTTTAGTCAGTTAGTACTTCCTAAGCTCGTCCTCACATCAAGTAAAAGCAGTCTCAACCCACACCACACATTTCGAGTTAATCCAATTAGATAGCTCGAACGGAGCATCAAAGTGTTTTCAATATGTTAAGGAGTCAGTTAGTATTACCATCTTCTCAATTTCAATCAAAATAAAAGTTAATTTTGTTTTTAATGAAAAAAACTTACAAATACTAAGAATAAATACTCTAGAGAACACGAACTGCATTGAATAACAATTAAGCAAGAAATCACAGTCGATTAATCGTAATTATTGTGCAGTAATTCAATTAGTTGCTGTAAGATTCAAGTTTTGGAAGTTGTTAGGGTTTAACAATCGAAGATTGGAATCTTGAAACCCTAAAATGAACTTGAAGAGGTTCGAGAGAGAGAGAGAGATGAGCTATAGGTTATTGATCATTGTACCGAGAGAGAAAGAAATGTCGATGCCGGAGCGAGCAGTTGAAGCGAGTCGGGAAGCTAGTCGCGGAGGTTTCGAGAGAGAGAACGAAGAAGCTAGCTAGGGTTTCTTGTTGTTCCTTGTCTCAAGGCTTGAAACTTTGGCCGATGCTGCGTTTTGGCTGCAATCACACACTTCACTTTCCTCGTGTGTAATAATAAGCCCTTGTTATAAGATGAGGCCTGTTTGGCGATTCAAACAATGATTGCTTGTCAGCTATTGGTTAGTATATATTAAGGTAGAAGACGCGGAAGCGGTAAAATCAAATGAAACACGTGTCAAACTACTTTCTCATGTTATGAAAGGAGATAAATTCAACAAAACATTAGCCACGGTTTATTTTTTCAGAGAAAAAAGGTTTTTGAAAAAAATAAAAATTTTATTTATTTGTAATTTTTTTATGTTTTTAAATTTTTTTAATGTCTTGATATTAAAAATTAGTTTTTAAAAATAAAAAATTAATATATTTTTAAATAAAAAAATAATATATTTTTAAATAAAAAATATTTTAAACAAATAATTATAATATGAAACATGCTCTAAAATAATTACTAAAACAAATGGTAGATTAGGGAAACAAATATACTTCTTTTTAAAATTATATTATTTTAATAATTTTTTTATTAAAAAAACACTTTGATGGACATAATCAACCCATGCGATCGGGCACCCAATCTTGGGCTAGATTGACTCTAAATTGTATCTTATTATTATGATTGTAAGTGATAACTTGAATGTTCAAAACTAGCTTGACCAATAATAACATATATTGAAATAAGTTAAAACAATGACGGCGACTTTATTAAAAATATAAAAAGTTTAATTAATTTTTAAAAATCTAAAAGATATGACATTTTTACAATGCGCATATCACTGTTCACTCTTTTACATGGATTTATTATTCAAAAATTTACTTTTTTTTTTAATTTGGTTTTTAAAATTTTTTACATGATTGCATTTTTTGGGTTAAATTGAAGGGCAAATAAATCAAATTTGCTGGACAAGGATAAAATTATATAAAAAAAAAGACCGGAGTATAAAAAGCTTAATAAATTATTAACAATGATTTTAAAATTCATACAAAAAGTTAATTTAGTTCTCATACTTTAAAACTTTTACATATTTGATTTTTTAATTTTTTTCAATTCAATTTTAATATAAAAATTTATTTTTATTATATTATAGTCCATGATTTGAGAAATGAGAGAATAAGGTCATCAAATTCCAAATATAAAGAGAAAATATCATTGGTATCAATTTTAACCAACAAAATAATCAATTTTTATATTAAATGGTTTCATAAGATAATGAGATTTCAGCTTCGGTGTTTTTTACCTTGAAAATGCCTTGAAAAAAATTAACATGGACTCAAGAAATTTTTTTGTTTTTGGTTGATTTCAGATTTTGAAACAGTTTTTGAATTTTTTTCATGTCATAAATAAAGTTTATCAAAGTTTGTGTTGTGTTTTCCAGGTGTTTTTATCAAAAGAAATTGAAAATAAATTTTTGAGTAAAAAAACTCAAACTTGTATTTTTTAGTCACCATAATGGTCAAAATACAGGGAAAATCAAATGAAGCGCCATCTAATTTATTTATTTTTCAAAATAAATGAATTGATAATTTTACAATGAACAAAAAAATTACGAGTTTAAGCGTGTGGGTCTGCCCTAGCAGGCCTATATGCTAGCCCTGATAAGACAGCCCAAACAGGGTAGCATGGCTTGTTAGGCCCTATAGTATCTAAGTTTTTTTATTTTTTTTAGATTAATGCCTTTACATATGTTTTTTTTCAAGATTAATATTTTATTAATATTTAAATTTATATATTTTTCTCTTAATAATTTTGTTTATATAGCCTCTTTAAAATTATAGTTATTTTTTAATTATTTTGTATGCATTTAATTTCTAAATATATTATCCTAATTCATCTATAATTTTTTTTTTGTGTTTTATATGAATAAAAAAATATTTATTTATTTTTCATAATATTTATAACAAGTATAGCACCACATAATATTTTATTTTATTTTATTTTATTTTATTAATTTTGTGTGTATTTGATTTTAATAAATAAAATCATCTAGGACAAAGCCAATGTTGTAATGTTAAATTTTTTAATCTATTAATATGTATCAATTTTTCATTTTTATCTTTATTTATTTTTAATAATATTTTATTTTTATTTTTCAAATATATTATTTTTAATTTATTTAATATATACACACATTTTTTTATTTACATATACGAGTTGGAAAAACTTTCATATATAAATTTTTTATAACAAAAAAAATGTTGCGTGCGCGCATGTGAGAGCTTTCACCATTCATATAGCTAGGGCACGCTGTGTTAGCTTTCGCTTTTAATTTGCATAATAAAAGATTTGTTTTTGTCCTGAATTTTTATTTTTTTTGGTATTTTTTTTATCTGGTCCTTTTAATATTACACTGATCTGAGATTGATTTTTGTGATTTGTTTTTATGCCAATGATGGGACCTTTTAGTGTTGGGGAAATACTACGTGTTCGGTTGATTCTCAATTTAAAAAATATCAAATTCAATTGCTTTCATATAAAAAATATCAAAGAACTAGAAATTCAGAGATTGGAATTGAAGACTAAATAAACGTGCAATCCCTTTTCTTTGCTAACATTAAGGATTTACTTGCATAGTCAATGATTTTTTTCTTGATTACTTAATTGTTTTTATATAATTTCATCTTTCAACTAGTATTTTTAAATTTGAGGTGGTAGTTTGTTTTTAATATCCATACATAAGGTTTTTTCTTAGCCCTAGATTGATTTTCATCATCTAGCTCCTTGAATTTATTTATTTTTTTATTAATTAATATTTTTAATCTGATTTTTTTCATTTAAATTATTTTAATAGGATATTATAATATTATTTTAATTGTTTTATAAGATTATTTTAACTTTATGACTTGAGTCATGGTTTTTTATGTTAATTAAAGTTTATTTAAGTGTATTTTTATAATAAAAAATTAATTTTAGTATTTAATAATAAATTATATAAAACTTGAATTTTATAATTTTTTCGGGGAAGCACTTTTTTATACATGTCATCATAATCACGCAAACCTTTTTTTTTATCTTAGCCTGCAACGGCATTCTACAAGCCATTTATCTAGTTTAATTTAATCGAAACAAGTTACCAAATGCATAATCTCTAGAACAAGGTCTGCTTTTATCGAAACAAACGTTGCTATGATGTTTGGGAGGCAGAGATGGGAAACATGGAATTGTTCGCGATTCTAAGAAGTCCAGATCCTGAAAGGTTTTAGGCATTGGCTTGAAGGCTGTTGTTGGGAAAGCAAGAAACTCCAGGGCATTGGCAAGGAGAAGGAGGTGAATTTGCAGGTTCGAAACAAGAGCTGCTCAGAATGTATTGGGAGACTGCCTGGAATCGAAGAAGGTAAAGTGCAAATGGAGGTAATGAAAATAATGGAGCTGGGTGAGGGAGATGAGAGCAGAGCAGAGGCACGACGAGGACCTGGAAATGATCACTGAGTAAACATGGAAAGTTGTTTCTGTGCTCATGGGACTTCTCTTGATCTGACTGGCTGTTCTATCATCCTTCTCCATGGGCCAACCACTTCCTCCATCTCCGAAGCATCAGCAAAGTTGCGTCACAAATTACGGGATATTTGATAGTATAATCGAGGTTGTTTTTTTAAAGAATATTTATTTAGAAATATATTGAAATAATATTGTTTTATTTTAATTTTATGAGAAGATCTTTCTCAAGAAAAAATTTCAATGACAAATATTAACCTGACCCAAATCACCCTATCCGGATCAATAGAGGAACAGAAAACGGTGTCGTTTATATTGAAAAATATTAACGGGAATAAAAGGAGAGAGAACAAGAGAAGACAGCCTCTCTAGATAGAAGCACCAACTCAGGATTCGAACTAGGGTTTTGCAGCAAATAATAAAACTCCTAATTTTCCCTCCAATCCCCCCAACCCCCCCAAAAAAAAAAAAAAAAAAAACCTCCTCTCTTCACTCTACTTTAACCGTGCAGAATCAGTCACCGTCAATGGCGTCGCGATTCCAGGCGGTGGCGTTAGTGGCGTCGCCGTCGTACCCAAACTCCATTGCTTGGTCCGACGATAACTTCATCGCAGTCGCTTCCGCTCACCTCGTCACCATTCTGGTAATCACCATTCTCTATTTACTCACTCTTGCTACTAATAACAGTCTATTGAGCCAATGCAGTCTATCGAAGCTTCTTTTTTTGTTAATTAGTTACTGATTCTACTAATTGAGATCGTAATTAGAGTACATTGTGTGGATATATAGTGAACGCATTGAAAAAGTTTCAAAAATTTTAAATTTTGGCTTAGCCAATTCAGAAGGAAGCTTTTTTTTTGTGTGTGTTTTTGGTTTTGCTTAGCTAGTAACTATTGTTATTAGTAATTGCAAGAACAAAATCTGAAGCTATTTTTTTAACTTTAGCTTTTAATTCCTTATTTTTTCTTAATTAGTTGCTGCATATGCTAATTACTATTGTATCTGGAGATGATTTTGTGGTTATGTGAATGCAACTAAAAAGTTCAATTTTTTTTAGATTTTAGCTTAGCAAATTCAGTGATGGAAGTGTTTATGTTTTTGGTGTTGCATAATTAGTTAGTATTATTACTAGTAGTTACAAGAAAGAAGCCAAGGAAATTCAACAATTTCCTTGGATAGAAGGGATATTGGTCATCATCATCGTCATAGTTAAAGGGATATTGGTGTTTTATTGTTTGGATTCTTGTGTTTCACTTGTTTGTTAGTGCTGCTATGATACTGATAGTTACTTTTGTAATTTGGAGTTTATTATGCGTTTCTTTAGTAGATGCGATGTAAAAAGTTTGAGGCTTTCTATTTCAGGTGTGGAAATTTGGGCTTTTATTATTCTAATGTCTTAAGTTCCTAGTAATTTTTTATTGATTACTGTGATTTTGTGAGGTTTAGAATCCAGCAGTGCCTTATGGACCAAGAGGTTTGATCAGAGTTCCGACATGCGAACCATACCCAATTGGTTGTGTTAATAGGGAGGGTATGCCTTTATTACTAGTTCTTTTGAGAAATAGGTTTCAGCCTTTTGATTTACACAGTTAAACATGTTGTTTTATTATTCGGAATGCTTGCAGATTTATTCACTAACTGCATGCTGCCCGCTGCATTATCTCGAGACCGTCGT